CTCCCTCCCCCGTCGGCCCGCACTCTTGCCCCGCGCCGCGCCGTGCTGCGCGCCGTCTGGCTCACCCGAGGGGGACCAGCCGGCACAGGGCGAAGGAGGGAAGGGGGACCGGCCGCGGAACGCATGTGCGCGGGGACACTCTGCCGCCCCGGTCGCACCTTAATTGCTAACACTCGCCCCCCCCCCCCCCTGTGTGCCCCTACAGGAGGCGCGCGAGTGAGCGAACGAGTGAGCGACCGAGCCGCCCGGCCCATGCAGAGGCTTCCGCATGGACCTGGGCAGTGTGCCTGCCTGGGCGCATGCCCAGCCCGATGTGTGGAGAGCCGTGCCAGCCCCTCCCTGGCCCACAATCCTCTCCCGCGCCCCCTCCCCCACCCCACCCCACTCGCCCTCCTTGGCGGCGATCTGGGACAATCGCTTCTTGGTGATGCGCCCGGGCCTTCGCCCTCCTCGGCGTCCTTAACTTCCCCTCTCGGCGCCTGCAATCGCCCACAGGCGCCCCCGATGCCCAGCTATTGGTGCTTCTTTGTCCTGGCTCGCCCCGCCCTCGCCCGGTGGTCTCCCTGCTCTCGGGGAGTACGGGCGCCCGGGAAAGGCCCCGGTGCTTGGAGGGCGCCCCGGCAGCAGGGGAGTGCCTCGGCAGCCGGGTATGCCCCCGCGCGACGCCCTGGCCCCCCTCCGCCCGGCCTCGGTCCTCCGGCCTTCTGGCGGACCCCCGGCCGCTCTTCGGGCCGGGTGGCGATGGCAGCCGCCCGAGGGAAATGCGTCTCCATGAAACTATTGCCCGGGTGTTTTGTCGGCGTCGATCCCGCCCCCCCCCCCCCCCCCCACCCCCCCTCCCCACGCGGTCGTCCGGCGCCAAGGAGTGGGCGCGCCCGCCGAGAGTGCAGCCGTCCCAGAGCACGCGCGCAGCCCCACAGACTCGCGTGCTCCCGCTCGCTCGGCCCGATGCACCCGGCGCAGCGGGCCACCCATCCCGGGCCTCCCCCCTCCCCCCCTGCCGGGGGCTTTGTCGCCTCCATTCGACCCCCGGTAGCCCACATCGCGCGCGCGTGTGAGCGTGCCTGTGGGCGAGGGCGCGCGCGCGCGCGCGCGTGTGTGTGTCTGCAGCAGCTGCCCGTGCGAGCGGTTTTGTGGGGGATTTTTTGAAAAATAGTGTCCGTCCATCTGCCATCCGGGGCCTCTGTTTACACTGTCTGCCCGCGCCCACCCGGGAGGCAGGACGAGGGCACCGTGTGGATACCGTGTGTGTGAGTGTGTATGTAAGTGTATATGTATGTGTGTGTGTGTGTGTGTGTGTCCCCCTCTCCCTTCCGTCCTCTCCCCCTGCCCCTCTCTGTGCACGAGGGGAAGGGGGGGGGGGGAGGGGGGACAGCGTGTCCCGCGCTCCACCCGCCCCCGGGGCGCAGTGTAGCCCCCACATTGAAAAGCCTTCATGGCCGCCCGTGTTCACCCCCCAGTGGCGTGGCAATCACCTCCCCACGCCCTCTCCCTCCATCTCCCACTCCTCCTCCTTCTCCTCCTCTCCCTGTCTGCCCTGCGGCTGTCCTTGCTCCGCGTCTTCCCCATCTCGCTCCCTGCGTGTGCGTCTGGCGTGTGCCGTACCTGCTGTTCTCCGTGTGTGTGTGTGTGTGTGTGTGTGCTCGCCCGTCCGGCATCCCTCTCCCCGCTCCTCCTTCCCCCTCCCCATGCTCCCCTGCCACCTTTCTTCGCCCCACATCCCCCCGTGTGTTCCCTGGTGAGAAAGGAGCAGAGCCATCCCGAGCGAGGGCAGGCCAACGTGTGGGCATACGCACACTCGGGCGGGATCCCCCCCCCCCCCCCCTGTGTCCTGCCGAGTGCCCATTGACGCATTGCCTGCCTCTTTGCTTGCCCCCCTGCCCGCGCCCGAGGCAATCCACTCGAAAGAGCAAGTAGCCCGAGAGCAGACGCGTGTGCCCATAATACGTGCACATAGCACAGCAGCAAGCAGGAGCCACCCCACTCGAGAAAGAGCGAGTGACCCGTGAGAGAGAGAAAGATAGAGAGAGCGAGAGAAAGAGGGAAAGTGTGTGTGTGTGTGTGTGCCTGTCTAGAAGGGCATCCACCCGTGTGTGTAACTTGCCCCCTGGAAATGTGAGTCCGGCCCCCGAGCCTCCGAGGACCAGTCCCTCCCCCTCCTGCACTTGCGCACCTCGGCCTTCGGCCGTTGCATGTTTCCCTGAGAGTTGTCCCCTTCCCATACCCGCCGCCGCCGCCGCCGCCGCCGCCCCTCGCATGCCGGCT